AGGTGCAAACATTTTCTTTTTTTTCTTTTTTTTTGGGGGGGGGGGGGGGGGGGCATTTACATGTCTGTGCCCAGGGGCCCGTTGTCTCATAATCCACCCATGAACAGTATTTGATAGGTCGAGTTATGGACACATCTTGTTTAGTACCAAAAAATATTCAGCTGTGATACTCAGCCCTGCTTATGAAATTTTAACATAATGAGAATTGACTTAATTAAGAGAAGCACATTTCAGGACTTTTGGATATAGGAGTTGTTACTTTCCATGTGCTGTATTCCCATCAGCACTGGCTCGATGTAGGTCTCTACTACACAGTAATGGAGAAACTTAGCTCATATCCATCATTAACACCTCTAGTAGGCAGCATGTGTGTGTGTGTGTGTGTGTGTATGTCTGTGTGTCATATACTCAGCATATGGCCAGCTCAGTGGAGGATCAGTGTGGCATTTCACTCTCTCCTCTCTCTGGCCATGAACAAACAAACAGTAACAACCTCAGCAGTAGCAGCTCACCATGCTAATCATCCCACTCAGCTTGAGCTGGAAACCTGCAACTAAAAAAATAAATAAATAAAAGTGTACCACTTGATTTCATTCTGAGCTTGTTAGCTTACAGTACTTTCAATTTTGTCTAAACTGAATTAATGTTCATCCTCTACAGCTCCGACAGGCGCTTTTGTACCATCTATCGTTGATCTGGTGTGACAGTAGTCTTGTGAGCTTAACTACTGGCAGGCAACTTATCTGACAGACTGTCTTACATAAGGTCAGAAGTCATGTCGGTGTAGTGGTCCTCTTCGTAGAGTCGAGTCACCTCAGGTCACAAGTTCATGTTCAAGGATTCACCCACTTACTCTGTGCTTACTGATACTATCAACAAAAATCCAATATCACCTATCAAGCCACGTTTAAAAAACCCATAAACCTAGTAATAAATTACAGATTTCTAACTGAAGTGATTTACAAGAAGTATAAAAGCACCATAGTGCAAAGGATCTTAGTCACCTCCTGTCATGGTATCAGATAAGTTGGAAAACTTGCCTGCTGAACTTTCTGGCACAATTACAATCTGGTTATACTGGGGGCATCCGAGTACAAGCACAGCCCTCTGCTAGAAGCCAGTGAACAACTCCAATGAGTGCGGATGTTAAGGCCTGGGGGCGATCACTACAACAGGAGTTGGGTATTCACTTCCTTCGATGAGATTTTTCCAAGAGATTGGAGGTTTCAAACAGGTGACCGTCCAATCACAAGCATGCCTCTCTGACCTTTAAGATAACCGATGGATTCAGCCATGACAAACTTCTTAATTAATGCCTCGTTCTTGACTCACATTTCACAATTATCATATTAACTACTGTCATGTGAAAACCTTTTTCACTTCAGATGACAGATTATCTCTTCCTCTGTTGGTTAACTAACTTCTTCTGGTGAACATCTTCCAAATCCATTGGAAAATGTAAAAATATCAGCGACACCAAGCTCAAGTCAAAGCACTTTTTCATAGTTTCTGCCATTTCTGAAACTTCACTAGGCTTTAACTTCAGTAACCTGCACCGGTCACAATCCAATGAGCACACAGTCCAGGTCTCTTTTGTAAAACAAAG